ATGGCTCATGTTCATTCTTAGTAAAATAACAGTAAGTCGGTGCCTTACAAAAGTCATTTTAGTCCTCACTTTGGTGATAAAAGCCTTGACTGTGGTGGCCTACGAGCCTTGTGGATTTTATTCTACTGAGCCTCAGAACCAGGGATTGAGCTCAGGCCCTTGCACTGGCCACGGAAGTGCTTATTCTACTGAGCCATCTCCCCGGCCCCTGTGGGTTTTAGGAGCTTGGGAGACAAGCAGAGCAGTTCTTCCCGTGCAGCTGAGGACCCGCAGGGCCAGGGAGGCAGGGGCTTGCCAGAGAGCTCAGCGTACTCCGTGACAGCCAGGCCTAGCTTCTCAGAGCTCAGCGCCCTCCCCTGTTCCCCAGCCACTGTGGTAATGTTTTATAGGATGGCTGCCATGGTTGATCCGCTAGATATGACTTCTTCATTGGCATGTGTCTTGTATGCGGCACAGGAATGTGATATTTCAGCCAGGTTAAAAACCTGTCCTCTGGAGACCCCAGCCGTCCTTTGCTTTATTTCACGTAGCCCATGCTATGTCTTCTGAAATGAAGTATGCTTAGCTTCCTGTGTACTGTTAAAATCAACAGGCAGCAGTGACATATATTCTCATTAAGGCTTGAGGCCTGTCATATACATGACCATATTTTGGAATTGTCAGTTTCTTAGAGAAGTCTAGGGGCAAATGAGATCCCTATAGGCCTGGCCTAAGGTTGGAGTCCACTTCCCTTCCTTTCCCTCTTTTCAGTTCATCCAGAGTAGGACCTTTACCCGCTCCCTCCAGCCCTGCCCACGATGTCCGCCCTCCCAGGCACTCCAGGTGGCTGCGCTCTGCCTCCTGGTCTGGCCAGCACCTTTCATCCTCAGAGCTGCGTTTTCCGGGAAGCGTTCTCTGCCTCGGAAGCTGCACTGGTGTTCAGCCCTTAAAGGGTCATGGTTGCTCCCCGTGTGGTGGCGTTCGTGTCACTATTGCGCATTGCCATTCCGGTTCTGCTCCTCTGGTACCAGTAACTCACGTTCCTTGGGAGCTGGTGTGGGTTGTGTACGAGTGCACAGAGGGGAGGTGTAGTGTTCATTGAATGTGTGAACAACAGGGTGACCAGATGGAGAGGCTGGGGGAGTAATGGCCAAATCTCTGAGCCCAGTGAGGACAGCAGAGAGACGGCGAGCAGTTTGTGAGATGCAGAGACAGACAAAGGTCTGGGGTAGGGGCAGCCCCATCCTCCCAGGACCCTGCAGCCTTGAACATCCGTGCTCCTCGCACTTCATCATGATTTTATATTTGGAAGAAATTATAGACTCCCCCCAGTCTCCCAGACCATTTATAGAAAGTAAACATTGAACCTGGGATTAAACTTTTATAACGTCTGGTTTTCTTCTTTAATACTTGAGCCCAATAAATTTTTTATTCCAACAGAGGGAGTTATCTCAGTCAGGGAGCATTCCGGCTGCTTTAATTTCCTCACTTATTTTGGAATGCAAGTGAAAGAGCCTTCTTAGACCTCACCAAAAAAGATCTCACATATTTCCAGAGGCCACAGGGTA